CAACAGAAGCCTGCTGGTACTGGCTTGTTCGGCAACACAAACACCGGCACAACTGGCACTAGTGGTGGCCTATTTGGCAATAATCAACAGCAGACGAACACGACTGGCTTTGGTGCCGCCAACAACAATGCTACTGGTGGTTTGTTTGGTAGCAAACCTGCTCCTACTGGTGGCCTTTTTGGAAACAGCACCACAGCTCAAACAAATACAGCTGGAGCTGGACCCTTCGGCGGCGGTTTGGCCTCAAATACTCAGATGAACCAGAATACCGGTGGCAGCCTCTTCGGTGCCGCCAATAACCAGCAGCAAAAGCCCAGTCTGTTCGGTGGCAGCACCAACAATGCTGGAAGCAGTCTCTTTGGGGGTCAAAACAACCAGAACGCTGGATCGTCCCTCTTCGGTGGCAGCACAAACCAGCAACAGCAACAGAATGGAGCCTCAATCCTGGGTAACAGCCAGTCTGCCAACGCCCCTCAGGGTCTGACTGCCAACCTTAACGACGTTTCGGCATTCGGTTCTCCTGGTTTGTTTGCTGGCCTCGGTGGAAACGAAGTCCAGAACCCTGGCCCCCTGGCTACTCCATTGAGCGGTGGTTCAAAGCCCAGAAGAAGCTCGATTCTGCCTATGTATAAGCTGGCTCCGGCTTCTGCTTCTCGATATGCTACCCCCCAAAAGCGAGGCTTCGGCTTTTCCTATAGCAATTATGGAACCCCCTCGGGCAGCCCCGCCAGTAGCATTTCTAGCACACCTGGAAATCTCGGTCACAGTTTGTTAGGCTCTAGCCGATCTGGAAATCTCAGTAAAAGCCTGTCGACCAACAACCTACGCCGCAGTTTCAACACTGAAGACAGTATTCTTGCCCCCGGAGCTTTCTCTAATGGATCTCAGCCCAGGTGGTACGGAAGCACTGGCTCCAAGAAGCTCGTTATCAACAGAGACATCAGGAGTGATCTCTTTTCTACACCGCAGAAGGACAAAGCCTCAGACGCCGGAACCGGTTCCCGAAAGCTCTCCAAGCGTGTCAGCTTTGACACAAGCAACGTTGACATGGATGATAGCACACCTGTTCGTGGTGCTCTTCCTACTGCTGGCGATGTTGACAGCCCAGCCAACGATGAGACCCCCCGTCAGACCCGCGCAACTAATGGCTCGAACGGTTCGACCGGCTCCAAGACTCCTGAAATGGAGGAAGTGAAGGGCAACGAGCTGGCTATCGTTCACGAGGAGGACAACACTGCCACTCATGAGGCTTCGTCTACCAGCACAGTTGACAATGCTCCCGGACAATACTGGATGTCGCCTCCCTTGGAGGATCTTGAAAAGTTGAACCGTATGCAGCGTCAAAAGGTTGATGGCTTCACTGTCGGCCGTGACAACGTTGGCTACGTTTCTTTTAAGGTCCCTGTAGACATTAGCAACATTGATCTGGCTGACATCTGTGGTAACCTTATTGTGCTTGAGCCTCGATCTGCTACAGTCTACCCTATCTCTGCTAAGAAACCGCCTGTTGGCAAGGGCCTTAACGTTCCCGCCAGGATTGCTCTCGAGCAGTCATGGCCCCGTGGTGGTAAACGTATCGCTAATGACCCTAAGCGATTTAACAAGCACGTTGAGCGTCTCAAGCGAATCGAGAACACAACTTTTGAGAGCTACGACAAGGACACTGGTGTCTGGGTATTCTCTGTGGAGCACTTTACTACTTATGGCCTCGATGACGATGATTCCGACGACGAGGAGATCACGCAGAACGAGCCAGTCGCCCCCCAGGAGATGGCTCTTGATGCTTCCGTCAACTCCGTCAACTCTCCCATGGAAGATGACACATTCGAGTTTCGAAGACATCGAGGCGTTCCCGGTGGGTTTGATGATGAAGCGCAAGCCCTACAACCCCAATTCTCTGGCGAGCAGTCTTTTTTAGGGATTAGCTCCGCGGATTCCGCACCCAACGATGTCAGGCTGTCCCTCGAGGAGGAATACGTCGATGATATGGGTGATGAATATGACGTGTCCGAGGATGAAGACATGGCGAGGTCTTCTCTCGAACCGCATCTGGCCGCGGAGCTCGACGGTAACTCGTCCGAGGGTGTTCCGGAAGCCGTGAAGGCCACTCCTGGAGGCATCCTCAGAGCTAGAATGCGAGCTGTCAAGGACTCTGCTGGTCCTGTGCAGCTTGAGGTTGCTGATGGGGATGATTGGATGGAGATGTTGCGAAAGACTGTCAGCCCAGTCAAGCGAGACCGACAGCTTTTGAGGGAGCTGAATGACTCTCCCTCAAGACAGACGGGCCTACTAATCGATCTTGATAAGAGTGGATCAGATACTTTACGGAAGACTTCCATTTGGAGGAAGAGCATTGCAAAGAATGATAGGCTGGACAATTTCGCGGCAAGCACTATTGGCATGGATAAAGGTCGTGGGTTTGCGACTAGCATCGACCTCATGAACTCATTGTTTGAGAAGCCCAAGCCAGCGCCCCAGAAACTTCCAGCCTCAGTCTCTGGCAAAGGATTTCCCAAGGTCGGTTCCCTAGTTGTTACCTGAGTGGCCCCAGAATGTAATTCATGGAGGTTTATGTATCTATTGACTTATAGTATATGAATTAATGCTAAAATTGATTTTGATTAGTGGCCCTACGAGCGACAAGACAAGACCATGACTTTGGACGGTTACGAAAAGACATTCCACGACGCTGGCCGACCTACCTGGGGTCCTGACGAGACACTTGTTGTTCCTCGACCACTGGCTTCAGAAGGCAGCCGACGATCTCTCACCCATAATGCCGACCTTGTTTCTTTTCAACGTTCCTCCATTCAGACTGACAAGCAAGAGCTCCGTCTGGCCTCATTCGCAATGGAGGTTAGTTATTGGGCACCGACTCACAGACATATGCTGACTCGCCATATAGCAATCCAAGCGATACCTGGGCAACCAGGATAAGCTCACTCAAATCCGAACTGTTGATGATGTTCCTTTTGCCTCCCTCAACGTTACCCACTTGCAGGATGTCTTCCACTATCAGGACATGAACGATCCCGCAAGCATGCAGGAGAAGCACGTTTGGGAGTTGGCCAGTATCCTTTTCGACCCGGTCAATGACAATAGTCAGCCGGAGCACCTTCTCCGCAAGAATAAGCTCTCGCATTTCTGGTCTCTCCTTGTGGACTCGGCCTCGTCAACGACCATCGGCCTGGCAGGATCGAGCGAAGAGAAGGCTGTTGCGTGCCTAGCTGGCCATCGAATTATCGATGCTTGCAAGCACTTGCTTGACGGAAAGAATTTCCGCCTTGCTACCCTGGTTCCTCTTATTGGCACCAGTGATGCTGCTAAGAAAGACATGCGAGAACAGCTCAAGGCCTGGCACGATTCAAAAATGCTCTCGGAATTCTCAGAATCGATACGTACGATCTACGAGCTCCTTTCGGGCAATGCATGTGTCTGCGAAGGTATGAAGGGAGTGCCTGTTGAGGACCGTCTAGACTCGTTTGTTATTTCGAAAAAATTTGGACTCGACTGGAAGCAGGCTTTTGGTCTTCGACTGTGGTACTCGATCGCTCTGCAGGACGACCTAGCAGCTGCAGTGCATAGCTTCAAGAATGACATCGACCAGGAGAAGGAGTACCTGCCGTTGCCTTGGTACATTGACCAGGGTATCAAGCCCTTGTGGGATGATGCCGACTCCGATCGCCGGCAAGATCTTCTCTGGGGTTTGTTACAGTTGTACGCCAATGACAGCACCGACCTGGAGGCCGTGTTGCGCCCTGAAAACTCGCAGCTCTCTCCACTTGACATGCGGCTGACTTGGCAACTTGGTCTCGCCCTTGCATCTAGTGGCAAGGTTTCTTTTGGTCAGGATGGTGCTGAAAAGGCCGACGCCGCTACTCTTGCTTATGCCTCGCAACTGACGAGCGCCGGTGAATGGCTCGAGGCAGTGTTCGTTTTGCTACATCTGAGCAAGCCCCTTGCCCGCAAGATGGCTATCCAGGAACATCTTGCCCGACATGCTGGTCTCATTGGCGACGAAAACTCTTCCGCTTTCCTGGTACTTACCGAAAAGTTCCAAATCCCTTCGTTGTGGATCTGGGAGGCCCTGGCACTGTACATGCGCAGCGTTAAGAAGGATGCGTACTCAGAAGTGCAATGCCTCCTGCGCGCTGGTTCTTTTGTGGAAGCTCACCGTGTTCTTGTTAAGGAGGTTGCACCACTTGCCATTGTTGAGCGTGACCATGCCGACCTCTCTGCTCTTCTCTCTCAGTTTGAAGGCCGACAGGAGCTCATCTCGGACTGGCCACTTGGAGGAGAGATCTACAGCTTCTTCCTTCAGCTCATTCAGCATCGCGCCAAGCATGAGATTGCACCACAGGCAGTTCTGGAGAAGCTTCTTGCCGGTTTGCATGCCATGGATGAGGAAGCAGGAGATTCTGGAGTCCTGCGGTATGCCGCCGTGTCAGACATGGCAGATGAGACTGCTAAGGAGATTGTTAAAGCCAGCAAGAAGAGACAGGTATGTTTAAGCAGATACATTGCAAGGTTGGAACAGTTACTAACTATTTATTTCAGGATATGGAGTTAAGGTCTAGGATACTCAACCTGCCTTTGACACAAGATCGTCTGTTGGCTTACGCAGTGGACTTGAGCATGGACCGATACCGGGAAGTTATGTCCCACTAGGAGGTGGACGCGAACAGTATAGGATTGATGCCATATTGGAGTGGTTATATGATAGTTTAGTAATTCAGGTGAAGGTACCAAAAAAGGAGCAAGCGTGTCTTGAGGATGTGAGAGTAGGGCATTCATTTATGGTCTCATGAGATCGACTTGTAGAATAGTCTAGATAGTTGCATGGAGCATTGGTAATAGGGAAACGATTGTATTTTGGGATCTTTGGTCTTGAGAATTGTGATGTTGACTGTGATGTTTCTTACTGAGTTGTCACTTTCGCCTGGCAGCCCTGGATTATACGTGGGGTCAGTGGATCGTCGACCTCATTGGAAGTTTTGGCACTGTAAAGCTGATGGTGAATTCAAATCATTTAGATGCCATCTTGCACCACGCATCTCTAGCCTGCGTCATGTCTAAACCAAAGAATTGGCCAGATGGCTTCCCGTATCTCAAGGCACCTCTTCATGACAAGAGTCTAACTCCAGCGCACATACAAGCTCTTAAATACAAACCCTCTGCTTCAAGTGGCATTCCCATCATCCCATCGCCAGCAACAACAGCACCATATAATCTGGCCAAAATCCAACCTATTTCGGACCCATCACACCCAGCAAACGGTCAAAGGGGTCTCTTCGCAGCTCAGAATCTCGCACCTGGTAGCTTCATCCTCGCATATCTGGGCCGAGTGCACTCAGGCTCAGCATCCTCAACAGAGAGCGACTACGATTTATGGCTGGACCGAGAGCTTGACGCGGCTGTTGATGCTGCGAGTGAAGGAAACGAAGGACGCTTCGTGAATGACTTTAGAGGCGTGGGTGAGAGAGCGAATGCGGAGTTTAGGACGGTTTGGTGCGAGCGATGGGGAGAGCTATGTGTGGGAGTTTGGGTGCTTGGAGGTGGGAAGAAGAAGAAGGGAGTAGGAATCAAGAAGGGGGAGGAGATTCTTGTCAGCTACGGTAAAGGATTTTGGGGGGAGAGGAAAGTGGAAGAGTATGAGTATGAGTATGGGTGTGAGGGAGACAATGGAGAGGGAGTTGGTAGTGATGTCGCATCATGATATATATGCACCTCAAGATAGTTCCAGCTGTTGTGTTTTGACATTTTGTTACTAACATTTTATTCAATTCCCATAAAGGAGCCCCAAAAATCTGCATCGAATCCTTACTTGATTGTCCTTGTCCAGCCTTCAACTGCCAGTTCGATAACTACCAGTTTAAGCTGCTCAACTAATCTTGGTGGAAGAAAAAGTGCCAAGCTCCATTGCTCCTTCATCCATCTGGAAGATAGCCGGGAACCTCCCCATCAGAGAGAGGCTGGTGCCCAATGCAAAAGCCATAGTGGCCATTTGAACGCCAAAGAGGATACCCAAGTAGGTCTGCGAGCCGTCGATGTTGTCCAGCTTAATGAGCTCTGCAGTCACAAGAATGAAGACGCCGAGGCAGGCGAACAGAGACATAATGACGAAGAAGAGATGGATCTGCGTGTTTCTGAAGCTCTTGTACAGGCTCTGACCTAAACATTGTATCAGTATTGAGTTATGGATCGTTGAGGGAGAAGGGTTAATTATTTACCAAGTCCATCGTCTTCCGCAGCAGAAGGCATGCTATTCCTGAGCTTTCGTGCACTCCTAATGACGGCGATGAAGAGTATGATGGCTACAAGGAGAACCAAAAAGGAGATCACAGTGAAGGCGACTGCAATGTGAGGTTAGATTATGACGGTGCTTGAGAAGAGTTGGGGACATACTCATCAAATACGAGTCTTGATGTTCGAGAATACCCATGATTTCTTCATTGGTCGTTGCTGTAGATGCTTCTCTATATGCTGCTCCAGCTGCTGCTCCAGATGTTGCCCTCGCTGTTGCCCTGGCCATTTCTGGGAGGTCAAATGCGGCAGGGTCAGGCCTCATAAGGTCATCTGAATCTAACAAAGCGTCGAAGCGGTTGTCTCCAGGCATGATGATGGTGGTGGTGATGATAGACTGGGGGTTAATGCTTTCAGGATCCAGGATCGAGGAAAGAGAAGAATGTGGTAATAAGAAAAGGAAGAAGAAAAAACAGGCAAAAGAGAAGAGGGACGGCATATTTATTGTGTTCGACTTGAAGTCTAATCACCAAGTCAGGCGTGCCTGTTGCACACATGAGTTGAGCACCAATCACATAGATACTCTTGAATTTTGAGAGTCTTTTTTCTGCATGACTCTATAGGCGATCGTGAAATATTAGCCGACTTGACAAATTCTGTCAATAATGGAACAAATAGAAACTCATTCTGGTTACTTCTTGAAGCATAATATCATAGCGTGCCAAAGTTTAGACTCTTCGACTTGATCCTATCGCTGGACTTTCGGGCTTTGGTTAAACTTTCAAGAAGAACACGTTTATACAATTATAAGGATGCACGAAACTTGCGCGAGAGTCTCTTTAACATTTTACACAACGCAACAAATGTTTCTTCTCTTCTTCTGCATCTTGCTTCCTCAGCTTCAAGATACTTTATCTAGAGTCTAGCAGTGTGCGGGTGCAGCCAAAAAGAAAAGACGATTCACCCTCTACTCTCAAAATACAAATACCTTTATATTTACCCTTTAAGGAGCGTGAAAAGCATCCTACCCATCAAGGTACTGCGAAAATGAGTTTCTGGGACCAACTCCTTTCGGCTCCAGTGATGCCTAGCTCGTTAACCACAATGGAAACAGTCGCACTAGACGACAGTATGGGCGATTGTAAGTATCTTCTTATGAATACTTGTCCCCATTAGATACTAAAGCCCAGTAATTTGTAGTTATCGCCTTTCATGATGTGCTTGGATATCTCGTAATGATTCTCACAATCATCTGCTTTGCCAGCAAGCCATCACCCAGTAAGTTCCTCTTCTTATCTCGTCAATATGACCGCTTATTAACATCCTGAAGAATTTCGCGCGATATCGCAAATCTTTGTATTATTTACAGTGGTTACTACGGTCCTCCTATGGCTCATTTTGCAGTATTTAATACTGGGATTGGCGCTACACAATGACCGCGCTCGAGCCCTTGGAGAATACTCGTGGCTATCGTTCTTTGGGCTTCAAATGTCCCTCGACATGATGATCTTTCTTTGCGTTGAATCAGCTTCCATATATTGATGAGGTCTCTTTCACCTAGACTAAAGAGACGTAATAGAACTTTGTATGGTTAAGATGCGGTCACCGAAGCGATGAGAGGGACAATAACGAAAGATAACTTTCCTATCATGCTGTTTCTGAGACTTAAATGAAGCATACAATATCATAGTCTGAGAATAATCACCAAATTCACGATACTCTTCTCGAGTTTGGACATGGTTCTTTGGGTATACTTCGCCGAGTCTATTGTCACCACCTGACACTTGAAGACGTGTCCTTTTCTCTGATCTGAGTCTTTTGATGAATTCAAAGTATTACTTATAGTTTCACCTCCGTTGGCAAAACCTCATTCACGATTGGTAGAAAGCCTCTTCTTGATATCGCACGTAAACTATGAGCATGAGAGACCAACAAACTTTTGTTCTGTACATCGACACATGTACTTGTGAGCTTTATGATGAAAGTAAATAATCACCTATCTTCAACATAATGATCTTTTTCTCTTCTGCTGTCTTTGAATCCTTTTCTCCCTCCTGTCAAACATCTTAACATCACAGGTCAATATTTACCACAATATCAATCACGACTAATCCTTCGCAATAACCGCCAACATGTCTCTGACGGGAGACAAACAACGCCTTGCCATGTGTTAGTATCCCGGGCTGGACGGTAATTCATATACTGACTTGTCCAGGCTATGGTTATTTCTTAGTAGCTGTTACTCAGTTAGCCCTGGTTATCCTCGCATCTGTCCTCCACAAAGGTGTAACACCATGTATGAAATACCCATTGGTATACCAAGTCATCGAGCCCGTATCGTATAACTGACTCTTTCGTCTCAGATAAAACATCCGCGTATAAGAGCTACCAAACAGCAACACGTATCACCGGCGGAATGGCTTTTCTCCTCATGGCAGTCCAAGTCTACATCTCCGTCATTCCTACCCTCCTCGACGGCCCCAAGATTGTTATTGTGTTGTTGCTTCTCGCTCAGCTAGCTTCTACGGCGTACTTTTGCTATCTTCCCTTCAAATACCTGAAGGGTGTCGCACCCTGGGAAGATGGAAGGCTCATGGCTGATCAGGAGGAGTTGGGGCTGAAAGTTCTTTCGGAGAATACGGATCCGACATCCTTGAATGAACAAAGCAGGGCTGCAGACTATGATACGATGGAATTTGTACAGTTGTCTGGACCTGGGGCTGCTTGTCCCGTGTAAGACGCTGTTGCTGGGCTGAAAATGGCGGGAGGATCTCTCAAACTTGCAGATCAACGTGTCTCAACAGGCTTCAAACTGAGCTTGAATGTCTTTTTTAGCGAAATAGATGTCCAGGGAACCTGGAAAACAGATAACCTTGACTCTTGGTTTATCACTTGTCGACATCAAGGAGTTCCGTAGGTGTCTATTAGATACATAGATACAACACATAGTTACTGGCTGGTTTAAAAGAACTGATGTCACTATCATATGCTTCTATATCGCTATTCAGTGATTTGTTTATATTTATAAACCCAACGTTTTGTTAGTGTGACTCTGCTCCTCCACTTACATCTGCACCGTAGCATCGCCATTCGTGGGGTTTCCTAATTGGGAAAGCGGCGCGAGGAACCTTGTATAGTTGAGCTGACGATCATGGCCACAAGGCAAAATACGACTGACGCTCGCGCTCTCCAGAGGCCGAACATACTTACAGAACATGTATAAATAAGACTGCTCGATCTGTCCTCCTTCAATCTTTCTTATATCTCAATCATCTTCGGAATTCCACATCTTGATCCTCCCATAATCATCTATATCCACTTACACGGAATACACACACCGAGCATCACTTATATCATCAACCATGACCTCTCAAACCTCAAACTCTTCTCCTCGTCTTGTACGAACTACACACAATGAAGATGGAACATCCATTTTCGTCCCCGACACAAATGTCACACCCTTCCAACCTTTTGGTCCTCAAGGCAGCGGCTTCAACATCTTCGACGTCCGTCAAAGCGTTCCCATCAACAACACAGACTCTGTCTCATCATTTGAGAACTCTCTTCCAAGATGTCCTCCTAAAGGATCTCTCTTCTGCATGACCCAGATTCAGCCTGGCGGGAAAGCACCTATGCACCGTACCAAAAGTCTCGACTACGCTGTAGTCCTGTCGGGCGAGATCGTGCTGGGGCTCGACGGTGGAGAGGAAAAGACTGTCAAGCAAGGAGAGGTTATTGTTCAACAGGGCGTGAATCACAGCTGGGAGAATAGGGGCAACGTTACGTGCCAGATCATTTTTGTCATGATTGGTGCTGAAACTATCACTCTTAAGGATGGGACGGAATTGGAGGAGACTGTATTCTGATAATTCGAGCTGTAACGTATGGTTGTGATTAGCGTGGATTTATATGATTAGATCTCGGATAGAACACCCAAGCTTGACTTCATGCCTGTACACTCTCTGATCCTATCAAATACTCTTTGTGCATCCTCTTTCTGTGAATTCGTAGTTAGAGCACTCTGGCTTTTGATGATCTTTATCGGCCAAAGCAGAAGGTATGCACCAACTGCCTGCCAACGAGCCGTCTTTGACCCCGAGTGCCATCGACCTATGTGATCGATATCGCCAAACGATTGGGGGACAGTTGACAAGATTTCGCTAGCCAAAGACTGAACGGTAATGATTGATCCCGTGATTCGAGTTGCAACTCTAGGTTCTGATGGTAGTGCAGTATTGACCTTTTCTAAGCAGGCTACCAGTTTCTGATGAAGAATGATGCGTGCAGTCCGGTGATAATTCCACTCATAGGCCATCCACAAATCCGGATGAAGCTGAACAGACTCTGGTAACCAGAAGCTAGACTCTCCGTCGCCGAGTATCTCATTACGAGATTTAATCTGAAATCTCCATTCTGGTTTCTTTCGCCAGCGAGTAGCCTCTTGATCAAGACGAAGCATCTCGTCGACCAGGTCTAACAGTTGGCATGTCTCAATATTTGCCGCATCAATAGAATTCAGTAGCTGGTTCGCTTGTTGACATATTTGATTGATCGCTAGGCCATCTTTCTCCAGCTTTACTGAAGTTATGTTGTCGTTGAGTGTCTCAAGCCAATCTTGCGATTCAGGCAGTGGGCTTAATTGCTTAGCTAATTGTTGCTTTTGCTTCACATTGTTATTTCAGTATTTACATGGGCGGAGGATCAGGATTACTTACCAGTCGATGATGAGCTAGACGGAACAGACCCCAGCCTCGAGGGTCGTAGAATTGCTCATGGCCACGCAGTCGTAAGATATGTGCCATGCCTTGGGCGTGTGCACCGGTCATTAAACAATCAGGCATGAAGATCGTCTGTCACAGTATAAGCTTGATACACTGAGTCTAGTTTTGCAGTGTACTAACCTCAAATATGTCCAGCATAACCACTGTCATCAAATCGTAGTCATCTGGTGTCTTGTTCTTCTCTGCCAAAGAATGTCCAAGGGCACCCAGAGCATGGCCATAGTACTCGAGCGACCTCTGGACTAATTCATCTGAGCTCTGTTCTCGAGAAAGGTCTGCGAAAGCACACGCTTGAACGGCGAATCTCAACGCATAACGGCCCTCAACGTTGACTTCTTTGAACAAACAGGGGAGATGCTCGAGAAAGCCTGGGGAGGATGACTCCTTACAAGGAAGCAACACATATTTGTCGATGAATATGTCCGCTATTTGGTCTTCCTCAGAAAGTGTCTTTGTTTCGGACTGATCTTTCAACCATGGGAAAGCTGGTGGAAGATTGATAGAAATAGTCGATGAGAACGAGCTCTCGGAGGCACGTTCAGCTGATCTACTTCTGGTGCGATGATCTCGAGGGGATTTGGACCTGACAGACCGAGACGAGTTAGAAGGAGTAGAAGTTTGACTTTTCAGGACGACTTTTGCAGTTTCATGCTGGAACATAAGATCGCCTTCATCTCGATACCCTACACATAGCTCATTGCGGGCGATACAGCGTTGACATGAAGGTCGACTGCGGTCGCACTATGATAATCAGATAAAAACACACTGAAGGAAGGTTCATAATAATTGATCACCTTGACTCGTCGTTGGCGGCAGCGAAGGCAGCCTCGACTACGATGTGACATTGTGATTGCTATTGCTTACATGAGAGTTGAAAGTTCCAAGTTGCCCCACGACACTAGTTGAATTGAGCGTCTCTATTTACAAGGACTATCAAATAATCATAAGATCAAGAACCAGAGACTATATGACAGACATAAAAATCCAAAGTGAAACAACATATCTGCTTATCAAAAGAAACCAGATTACCAGCAAGGGCAGCAACAAACATTTCGCCAGCCTTTGACACAGGGCCTATGCTGACTTACAGCAGTTGAGGCATCGGTGCTCAGTTTCAACCCCAAGAAAGAATACATCACCAGAAAAGTTGTTTCTCAAGAATAAATGAATGCTTCTGAACACTTGTTCAGGGTCTGAGAATGGGCACTGCGTCGTCGAGACAAAGAAGAATCCAGCAAGCCTATCCTTGTTCACAAACACCATGTCGAACACCAGATTTCAGATATCTATTGTCCAACTGAACAACAAGACAGTTGCCCGTAGATCTATAAAGAAAACCTCGGAAGAAAATACACCCAGTCAAGTATATAATTGCAGCCTGTCTTCGACAAGATGATGGTCTCAACGACTATCAAATTATATGCACATTTGCGACTTCAGCTTCAATAACCGTTTTAATCACTAACATTCCCTACAAGACAACCGTCAAAATGCCTTCATTCAATGATCATCGCATTAGAAAATCCTATCCTCGAAGCCGAGGTCCCATCCGCGACAGGAACTACCACCAATCTCTGAATGTCGACACCAACACTCGCTTTAACAAATTCAAGGCTAATCTCTTTGCTCACACGCACTTCTCACCAACCGAGCCCAGCCGACCAACCAGAAAACAGGAAGAGGCATGGCTGCACTTTGAGCAGAAAGACTCTGTTTCTTTCTTCATGTCTTCTCTTCACTCTGCAGCTGACGACTGGGAGTGTAAGGATTGCAGTTGGCAGCTTCGTAACCTGGCAGCCAAGTTCTACACTCAATTCCACTCAACCAACAAGGGGGTACCTACTTCTCATCCTGTTGAACTGACTACTCCAGAACCTGTATCTTTTCGACGTCGTCGAGACCCAGACGCCATGTCAACGGGTTCTGTTTCGTCCAGGAGAAGCTCTGTTTCTTCTAATCTTGGAAGCGATGTTGCATATCTCAGGCGCTGCACACTAACAAAAGACGTGGGATTGGACGGCCAATCCTTTTACGGAGTCCATCAGGCTCATCTTGATCTTAGCCTCGGAGAGACAGTCAGCGTTCACATGCGTCCAACAGACCAGAGGCGAAAGCTGCACGAACTCGAACCTGGAACCATCATCTCCGCCCCTTTTCATAGCCAAAACCGCGACGACAAAGTATCTACAACAAATTACAACACTGCAGTCTCTGGTTTCGGCCCCATCTACTCCAAGTACCGCAAGATGATCACTATAGAAATTTGGGGAGATCATGCCGTTTGTCTGCCAATTTACAGTTACAACGGCAAAGGTCTTGAGAACCGTGGAGGCATGGCAGACGAGTACATGGATATTCGTGATATCGATGACGAGGAACCTGAAGACGGTGATACAGATCACAAACCGCTCATGGCTATCCGCAGTGAATGGTGGCATGGTAAGAATACCTTCATCTGTGGCAGGTCAGTTGTCAAGCTAACTGAGAAAACCACTCACCACGCATTTGAAAAGTGCTCGATCGAAGGAGCCCTCACCAAATCTGATTTCCAACGCATGTACAAGGCCTATCTTGGACTGCTTCAGTCAAAAGCGCTGGATGTCTTTGGCAAACCAGTCGAGGCCACCATTATACCAAATAAAACATAACCTCACAATAGGTAAGTCACATAGTTCTCTCAGCATTCAGACACGCTAATACAAATTTCCTTTGTTAAAATCCTATTCCTGTTCCTGTTCCTGTTCCTCATGCGTTTAACCTCCCAAGAAGCATGATTCCATTCCATGACCTGTCTTGTCTAGTATTTCAATAACAATACGCTTGCTACAAACAACAACCCCTATCTCTGGCGAGATCAAGCCAGTAAAGCAACCCACGCCAATCCTACCAAGGTATATAGTACAACCGTAACCCCAAGCCTTCCTGTAAACGACCGCTTTCAATAAAATTAGATATCCTCTCCCTCAGCATCCACATCTTCTCCTTTAGCAGTCTGTTCCGTCGATCCCGATCCCGCATTATTTGCAGTATTGCCATTGACTTTGGCACCATTAGTTTTCGTCGAGACAACGACCGAGTCTTCTGCTCCCGAGTCTTGAACCGCCACCTCTTGTCCTGGGTCCTTGCCTTCCGTGACAGGTCGCAACTTGGCTTGTCGATCGACCCAGCCGGGCGGTAGACCAGGGCCACTGGTAGCATTGCCGTAGTCAGACTTCTTGGTTCCTTTCGGCCATCTACCTGGTCCACGGCCGGTCCCTCCAGTCTTTTTCTTTGAAGCACTCTTGGGTCTAGACGATGATGGCCGATGGCTGTTGCTGCTACGCTTCGGTTTGGAGGCACTGCTGGCAATGCGAGGGGCTGTTGGTCGACTGACGCTTGGTCGAGCTCTTTCTCGTCGACCGCCAGGTACGGCAGGGAAGACTTCGAAGCGAGTGAACGGAATGTTCTGATATGGTAGTAGCCAAGCCGGGGGGCCTGCGGCTTTTGCATCTTCCATTTCGACGTCCTTATCTTTCTCTTGCCCGGGTGCCACATCTTCAATAGACTGGACTGGCGCTGGCTCCGCACTGGGGTTTTCGACTGAAGATTCCTTGGGTGGTTCTCCATTAATGTTTATTGGAGCATCACCGTCTGGATCTGCGACTGCTTCAGGAGCAGACGCACCATGCTTCTCTCCGTTAACCATTGGCTGATCCTCAGTGGTAGCCGTACCATGTCCCTCGTCAACCTTGGCCTCGTCGTCTTCCCTTGGTGCGATGGTATTGATCGGTGGGCCGAGTTCAAAGTTGACGGCATTGGTTCGACCCATCACATATGGAGTCCAAACAAGAGCTTCCGATTTCAGCTGAACGTAACCCTTGGCTTCCCACTTGCCCACGTATTCTCGACAGTAATCCAAATCGACTCTGAAGGCATACACCTTGGTCTGCGGATCTCGGACAAGGGCCCTAAGACCTTCCAATGCAGAAATGACATCGTCCGGGGTCATGCCAGTATCGGCGGATATCCGTTTTATGCTGAGCCCTTCTGTTGCATGTTTCTCATTCTCCATCACCTTCAAAAAGTATCGACATAGAACCAGGCGCCAGTAATTGCGATATGAAACCAAGCCCATATCAGAGAGAGGCTTCTCGGGCGAACCCGTCTTCTCCTCCACTTTGGTAAGTAAGTACGAAAAGTCAATAAGCAAGTTGCCATAACCTTTTCGTTGGTGTATCGGTAATGTCAGAATACATGAGACATTGTTCTGGCTGCTAGCCCTCTTTTCTTTAGAAAAGTATCCCACAAAGTGATAACCTGTCTCGTTGTATTCGCATAAAACATAGAAAAGGAAGGGTTCCACGTCATAGTATAAAGTTTTCGATCCCAGGAACAGCTTGGCAAGAAGGCACAGATTCTGGCAGTAGACTGGATTCTTGCGACCGTCAACTTCGAAAACTGAGACTGATCCATGACGATAGATCTCGTCTCCTGGTGGATGCTTGGCTGGGCATTTGAGTTTATGCCTCCAAGCAACGTAGTCAGAGTTCATGTACTTCAGACAGAACTCGCAAATGTACAGCACCCGATTTATGCTGTATTCGGCAGGGTACGGCGCAGCATACCAAGTGTCGATTTCCCACCCGCCAAAATCGATGCATTCGATCTCACTGCCGTTGTTGCCTGCTTTTTTCGACTTTCGAACAGGAGGATTTGGCTCTTCTTGCATCGCCAGCAGAAGACGCGCTCTCCAGTCATCCTCGGCTTTCTTTAGAGCAGATGTGAACTTGTTCCGATCATCCTCATCTGGTAGAGTCTTGGATGTGTCGGCTTCGGCTTCGGTCAATATGCCACCGTAAGGCTTCCCTTTCATCTCATCGGCGTCGCGATCATAAAATGAATAGAACGGCTGTGAGTAGTTGTCTGATGTGAAAGGCGTCGGAAGGGTAGATATAACTGCAGCTGTAAGGTTGGCTCTGGATGCTGGAGCTGGAGCCGGAGTCGTAGCTGGAGCTGGTCGTTGAGGGGGCGGACGCGTGGCACTACCTGGCTGTCTTCTCTTTTCTCGCTTTTTGCGAGATAAGATTTCTTTAAGGTTGCCTGACTTGACATGAAGTTTGAGTACAAGTGAGGTACGAGTGCGTTTCTCTATTGAGACGGGTGGGGGTCGTGTAACTTTGAGACGCAGAGTCCTGGAAAGGTGGTGTCGCCCTGGTTCAACGCTTCCATTTCGCGCTGTGCTCTCTGACCCTGCGTCTTGGGACTGATTTCGTCGCCGTTTCCTCAAAGAAACACCGTTTCCTTCATCCTCTAATGATGAAGATTTGCGTTTTCTCAAGCTGCGAGGAGCGTCTATCGGCTCCTCATCAAGCTCACTATCATTGTCGCTTTGGGAACTGGCATCTTCGTCATCGCCCACGTGCTGACCGGGCTGATGTTCGCCTGATACTCCTGGGACATCAGACTGTTGGGAGTGAATATCGGCATTATGATCAACATCGTGATCCTCCATCTCCTCATCTTCACTCCCAGCGTCGGATTCTTTGCTGAAGCATTCAGGACATTTCCAAATGTCGGGCGCTAGTATCGTCAGTATCTGCCAACCTTTGCTTACACATTGAAACTTACTGTTAGCTGCACTCATTGCAGCCGCATCGCGCGCGCACTGTTGATGAGCTATACTTGATAAGTATTCAAGAAAAAGTACTGATGTGGTAGGTGAACTTACCATTACCACCACAACGAACACAGGCTAAATAAACTTCGAACTCCTCGCTAGGGTCTTCGTCTTCGTTATGGCCGCAGAAAATGCAGTTGTTTGAGGCGGCCGTCTCTTCATCTTCATGATCTTCCTCCGCCTCTGCAGCATCTTCCCATGCAGCCTCCTCGTCTGACTCTTCGTCGTTTGCGCTTGGTGACTCGGATTTATCGCTTTCGCTGTCATCATCGTCGTCGCTTCTTGTCCCTGGTTGAAATTTTACTGCACCAACGCCTTCATCTTCCTCATATTCTTCTCCTTCGGCATCAACATCTTCCTCCTCCTCGGCATCTACGTCGTCTTCTTCATGTTCCTCATCTCCTTCAGCGATTTCAAGATCTTCCTCATCGCCGTCTCGTGGAGGTCCAACACTATTGTGAGAAGATGCCTGCGGGGGTGCCATATAGTCGTTGTCCTCCTCTCCAGATGCGTCTACATCCTCGCCAGATGCATCGTGGTCGCCGAACTCAGCACCACCATCTTCTGCTGGAGCCTGACTCGTACCAGAGTTTCCTTTGCCTCCGTTTGACCTAGATGCAATTATCGTTGTTTCGCCTCCTGTTTCGCCTGCCGTCTCATACTCAGCATCCTCGTCCGAAACCATGACGCTGTGTTGAAGGTCTTCAGCCATAGTGTGTGCACTTGTCATGGTTACCCCCGCGTCCCAAAAGTAAATATCCTGAAACGAGAGCCTCGAATTTGCATATCGGTCGCTTTCGGTGGGTTGCGAAGGGTTTCTCGCAGTGTGGTCACGTCTGCTTCATCGCGGTACGCGGGCTTGCATTGAGGGGCGGGCTGTAACGAATGCGCGGTACTGGCTGCTTGAAAGAAAATTCGGGCTTGCAGTGACCCGCCCAAGTTAAATCGAATCACGCGTTCGTAGAGAGTCTAAAGATCGTAAAGATGCGATAGGAAAGCCACTGAATCACGTCGCGTCAACTTGTGTGATATCAAACAGCAGTCGCGGGAGCTAGTTGCCACAGTGCGTGCGACAGATACTTAGGGAGCCTCTCCAGGGGAGGGAGAAAAAGTCCGGAATAGTGAAAGCCCAAGTTCTTCGGTGGATTGCTAAGGGCTGACAGTTTTAATATAGTATACAAGTATACTAAAGATACATCAAGTGATAGTTTTTTTTATATGTCTTTTTTCATTGTCTTGAGAGTATTAAATCACCGTGTTTATCAATACCAAGCTGGAGGATACTCCTCCTTTTCTTCTCTTACCACGCTTCTACTACTAGCTTGGTGACACACTGTGCGAAAGCTCTCCTCAGTTACTGTACCACGACACAGGGATGGTTATGGAGCTTCTGGCCTCAGGCACCAAAAACTGCATCACCAATCGCTGAGTCGTCAATGGCTCGGTTCGACGTGAGCTTCAATTCAAGGCCCGGTTACTCGGAAGACGCACGACCACCGCGACGAACCCGGAAGACAGGTCAGGCCTGATCAATTCGAACTCTCGTTCTCCGATACATACGCCGAATACATTTAAGTCTGCTCAGGCAGCGCCGCCGTCACGATGCCCGTCCCTTTTGAAGCTCTTCTTCCCTATGCCATCATGATTGGTGTATGTCGCTGTCCGATCTCGCTGTCGCACGATGTGGAAGCTCATTGAATGAATGATAGATGTTCGGTATCTCTGGTACTGGTCTTGCCGTCATCAAGACCTGGCAGAACGAGGGCAAGCGACCTCGTTACTCCGTGGATCAATGGGATAGAGTAAGTTATGGACATACAACAGCATCTTCAATACTAATTGGTCTACAGCAAAGTACGATAAAGCCAGCCGAACGATAACTCGAGGATACTAACAAATTAATTAGTGATGGACCGTGACCGCCGACTTACGGGAACTCTACGAGGACAAACAGACAAACCAGAAGCGCCTTTAGGCTTCGAGCTGAACAACCCCTGGAAGGTTTGTTTTTCCTCTTCAATCCAAGCGATTCAAGTATTAATTCGATTAAACAGTTGGAGACACGCTTTTCTTAAACAGCAATATGGGAACCAGGGGCAAGTAACCAGAGACGGCAGCCTAGAGCTGCAATTGTAAATACACACATTTGGGGCACTAGTAGCAAGGCATTGAAGCCTATAAGATGGACAGTGGCTAAAAGAAAGAATAAAACAATGTCAAACAAGGTACTTTGTTCGAGTCACGGTGTAATGGAACGACAGATATGTTGGTCTTGACAGCAGGGGTATCCATTATATCGCTATCTCTGCTCTGTTCTTATTGAGACCCTCCAACAATGTGCAAGCCTGGCACATGGTCTGACTCGACATGTAACCGCACTTAGCACACTTCCCTAGGTTCTGCTTTGGTGCTGGTGTCTCCTTTTGTTTCTTCGTCCTTATTGGCAGGGGAACTGCGTCGTCCTTGGGTGTCCCATTGGAAGTAATCTCTGTCTCGAGAGCTGCAGACTTGTGCTTTTTCTTCAGGCTGGCCTCGACCTGGGCCATTTCGTTACCAGAAGTCCGTCCGTTGGCTGAGCCGCAGCCTCCAAGTCCCTCGCCTTCGTCGCAGCCACACGCAGCTTGGCCCTTGTCTGGTGTAAGTCGAGCCATGTCCTCTCCACTTCGTACGATGTCAAGAATTGCACTTGGCCGCACCTTCTCCAGATTCTTGATAAGTCCGCGTGCTGTTCCTCGGAAAGCCTCGGGGCTGTAAATACACTCTGTGCTGAAGTAGTCCAGCTTCTTGTGATGTGCGTAGAGTACGATCTCCTTCTCGTATGCATACTTGAGAGGCTTGCTTCTCTTGACCTCACTGCTTGCGTTTCCGGTAACGATACTAGTACTTCGAGCTAAGCGTGGCATATCGCCTCGTAATAGATTCATGAGAACGGTTTCGGCAACATCGTCAGCGTTGTGGCCAGTGATGACATGCTGGATGGCCAGCTTCTTAGCTCCTCGGTCCAGAGCCTGTCGTCTGAAAACACCACAATATGTGCAGTTTCCTTTCTTTCCGATGGTCTCGACTACCTGGTCCATAGTCCATCCGTACAGTTCGTCGTAGCCGACAATTTCCAGGGGCATGTCGTATTGAACAGCATTTCGCTTGACTGTCTCCAAGGAATCGTCCCGATATCCCTTGATACCCTCGTCGACACTCAAAAGTACTAGGTCAAGTCCATAGTTGTGTCGTTCGTTCAAAGTCTTCATTACTGATGCCAGCACTGTTGAATCCTTGCCACCTGAAGCACCAATAGCAACTCTTTCACCTCGAAAGAAGAGGTCTGATGATGTGATTGTGTGATGGACCTCATCCTCAAACACTCTGATGAAGCAGTCTCGGCATAGCTTATGATGGTTCTTGGGTCGCTTTACAACGGCTCGGTTATTCTGACACCGAACACAAGGTGTAGGTGCCATTTTGCTGTTAGTGGAGTTCGAAAGCCTCAACTGGTTGAGCCTTTGTGAGTGCTTAGACAGATGGAGTGAGTGGGTGACTTCTCCAAGTGCAGGAGGTTTTATGTCGAACGAGTTCAGTTGTTCTGTCGGAGAAGTCTCTTCAACTTTACTTCAACTTTACAGATTCTAGCCTCTTTTTTTCTCTTTCTCAAGATGTTGCCTCCCAATCATTCACTCAAGCTGTGAGTTTGCCTGACTGTAAGAGTCACGGTCACGTGCATTGCATTAGTCGTCCACTGCGAAAAGTCCATCAGCTCCAGCCCCTCCCTGTAGATTTCTTCTGGCCAGTGGAGTCGAGTTTTTCAATGTGGGTCCAGATTTCTAACAGGAAGCCCTAATTATCTTCCACCGAAAAAAAAGCATCTCACTCACCTTTTTCTTCTTGATTTTGTTCTCCATCCACCATCGCGTCCTGGACTTTTGCTCTTCAACCCACGAGCAACTACTAACCCCAACAATTCAAGATGGTGAGTGAATGAGCAATCGACTCGACTCTAATGGCCACAGTTTTGTGAGTCAAATGCGCTTTATTGTGCAATTGAGCCACAGCGTCGTCCACTTTGTGGGTGACATATGCTGTTGGTATTCCGCCAGTATTCGATCACCATAACAGGTATCGAGCTGGTGAAGACTTGGCTGGAGATGCGGCGTGTGCAGAAATGTCACGACCTATTCTCGTTAGAGTTCAGAGAAGACCTTTTGTTGGCTTGAACGCCTTGCTGATGTCTTCTTTTCTCAATGACAGCCTCCCAAGTCCGGCAAGAAGGTCGCTCCCGCCCCTTTCCCTCAGGGTAAGGCTGGCAAGAAGGCCGCCAAGGTTAGTAACTCTCTTGTCTCCCTGTTGGTGGGAAAATTGCTGACATTCATAGAACCCTCTTCTCGAGAAGCGACCTCGCAACTTCGGCATCGGCCAGGACATCCAGCCCAAGCGAAATGTCTCTCGCATGGTCAAGTGGCCCGAGTATGTCCGCCTCCAGCGACAGAAGAAGATCCTTCAGATGCGCCTGAAGGTTCCCCCGGCTCTCGCTCAGTTCCAGCACGTCCTCGACCGCAACACTGCTGCCCAGGCCTTCAAGCTCCTCAACAAGTACCGACCTGAGACCAAGGCCGAGAAGAAGGAGCGTCTCCTCCAGGAGGCTACCGCCGTCAAGGAGGGTAAGAAGAAGGAGGATGTTTCCAAGAAGCCCTACACCGTCAAGTACGGTCTCAACCACGTCGTTGGCCTGATTGAGAACAAGAAGGCTTCTCTCGTCCTCATCCCCAACGATGTCGAGCCCATTGAGCTCGTCGTCTTCCTTCCCTCTCTTTGCAAGAAGATGGGTATCCCTTACGCCATTGTCAAGGGTAAGGCCCGTCTCGGAACGGTCGTCCACAAGAAGGTATGTTTATCGAGCTCATTAATTCAAGATCGTGTCTGACAAGTTATAGACCGCTGCTGTCCTCGCCGTCACCGAGGTCCGCTCCGAGGACAAGAACGAGCTTTCTAAGCTCATCTCTGCTGTCAAGGACGGTTACCTTGAGAAGCACGACCAGGCCCGCCGACAATGGGGTGGTGGTATCATGGGTCCCAAGGCTCAGATGAAGATCATCAAGAAGCAGAAGGCTCTTGAGGCTGCTACCAAGATCTAAGGCTATTTGTTTATACCCCTCACAATGCATTGCGATTTTGGGATCAAACGGTGTTGCACGGTTCAGGGCATGGAAAATGAATGATTTTTCTCGGGTTACGTTTCGTCCCATCCCACTTCGCAGTGACCAGTGAGGCCGGTCTTCCGACCCTCCTTAAAAAAATAGATGATGAGCTTGCTTCTTGGACAAGACTTAAGCGTAAAGTGAATGTTTCGCCTTCTAAATTGTCCTGAGGATCAATTTTGCAGACTTTAGCTCTTGCCTCGAAGGCGCATTCTCCGTGTTCATAACAAGCGAATTGGGGTTTCTATATCCAATGTGAAAGAGCTAGCACGTAGAGTATATTGCATGTTTCCATTTCTGTGCTGAAAAATTAGTCAGGCCGTGGCTGTTAAAAGGCGTTATGCCTTGAAGGTATCAGGCCAATCACTCCTGTTGACCCTGCTCAACTATACTTTACGTACGTTGTCGCACCGTTTACATTCACTCCAAATGGCCTGGTCCTGGCTCTATCTCTTCAGACCCTCTATGCCATGTCATCAAGCTGAGGTTGAGTACTCATAGCTTTGGGAACCAATGATTTGACTTCATCAACAGGGGGAAATTCAAGATAATCACAGCCGAGTCAAGCACTTGCGCTCCCTTCAAGCCATGCTCTAAATTCATCGTATCGTCAAAAAAAGAAGCTATTCCGTTGTCATTGCCGCTTTAATTTCCCCTCGTCTGTCGCCCCACTTGGTGTGTTTGTGTGTTTATAAACATCGCTCAACTCATTCAAACAACAAAAGGCGCCGGCCGGCAGTGTGACTGTTTTCGCTTAACCGAAGACAAGCTTGAAGATGTCGTTGTAGACGAAGTACTGGCCATTCGCATCGCGAGCGAGCTGGAAGGACTGGCTGAAGTTCATGGGGCGCTGCTCCTCATCGACCTAAATATTTGTCAGTGGGCGCATTTCAGGAGGTTTGTGGGATAGTCGGAAACATACAAGGAGAGCACCGGTAATGAGGATAATGACACCGCCCTGGTCGTTGGAGGGCTGGGCATCGAGGGTAGAGACCTGGTGCTTGACCTTCTCGAAGGGGAGGCCCTGTTGGAAAGATTGTTAACGAAGCTGACTCTAGATCGCTAGTGACGAAGGGATGCATACAGCAAGCTTCTCGGTGATAGCCTGGGTGCCGAGGACGGAAGCAGACTCGAAAGTCAGCATAGAGTGGTCTCGCTGTTGTCAGGGTTAGCGAATTGTTCTTTATGTGTTTCTGCTGGTTGTGATGGTGGGCTACTCACGTAGAGAGCAGCAAGACCCTTGCGATCACTGTCGAAGGTGTTGTAGTAGAACTCAACAAACTGCTCTGTTTGTTTTTCGTTAGATATTTGGTCACGGCGGTGCAGTTTGAACTTATATATCAGCTCGTAAGGGGTCCAAACATACTGGCAACTTCCTCAAAGTCTAGAAGTGTGCGCGGTTAGATTCTCTCATCGTACAGTTATTCCAGAACAGTATGAACTCACTTCCGGCCATTTTGAAGTCTGGGGATCTGTTCTGGTCGTTTGAATCGCTAATGCGTCTAGAAAGGGGGAACCGAAAGGTTTTAACTAGAGAGCCGTTGGGTTGTCGCAAAGTCTGCCCGAGAGGAAAGCAATGGAAGAGAGAGATGAGATCAAGTGGATGGTGGGGTTGAGGGGGCACAGTGCAGATTAGGCACACACGTCAACGATGATGGTCTGCTGTCCACTGAATTGCGCTGGAAGTTGGGCCCAGGGCTTTGCTGGCACAGTGCGGCTTCGGTACAAGCATAAATGGCGGGATGGAGCTTGGATATGCCGATAATTGACCATACCCCGGTCCACCTGCTGAATAAAATTGCGCTGGAGCTGCTCCCGAAAAACTTTCTTTGTCTTCAACAACAACCCAACTCCAACAACAATTGGTTCCCGCAGACATCTTCAGGCGGCAATGCTCTTGAGAACATGCAAGACGCGCTTTGCAGCATCAGAATATCATATCTGCGGGTTCTTCAACAACCAATAACAGTAAGGTACGTTTATATGACACGACAACAGAATACACGTTTTGATGCCTCCAGCACACACGCTGGACGCGTTCACTACCCCCCTTTTGCATGATGACAAACTCTTCCATTAAGAACGGCCAACTGAATCTCTATGTTGATTTCAAAATTATCAAGCTCAACAGTCTGACATGTCTCCCTCTCATTCATTCTTCATACAAGCAAACGTGTCAAAAACACTTCGCTAACACGATAAAAGTTTAGTAGATGATTCGTACGCACCTTGTCAGGATCCATTTTAGATACGGGCCTCCGGTCGTTTACCCGGCGTGTTCCTTAGAAGCTGTAATAGAATGTTATCAATTGATTATTACTCTGACCTTGAACTCAAAGTTGAAACCGGTTTCGAATTAGTGACATGCATGCATGCATACTCGTGATTGTACGGATTTTACCACCAGTGGCATAATTGTGCCACCGTGATCTCGGAGCTCCAGTCTCTCATGTCAGCCTTGGAGCCAAAGTAGACTGTCACATCCCAGGTATTGTTGCTGTAGAACTACGGATTATAGTTTAAATGGAGAGAATGACTTATAGCGAAATTGTCATAGTGAGCTTACAAGTTTGTAACAGTACTTACTATCTTGAGAAAATTTAGGGGAATATGACAACACCTGTCTCGTGTATATTGTTAAGGCATTTTCTTCAGTTCGCAAGGATGAAGTTAAAGCAATGCCCTTCTATTCTTCAAGCAACGGTATACCATACAGTTAATCGATTCACCGAACACTGGTTCCTTCTGTTGGCTCAGACTACTCGATTGTAGGACCTTCTAACCTCTAGTAAGTAACCCACCCATGCCTCAGATCAAGAGTTGCTTGTTTTCCTGCACCAAGACATAACCAGGCCGCCTTGATACAACATAAGCCACTTGCTTCCCAAATTCAGAAGCATCCAATACTTCCTTAACCCTCGCCAATACACCACATGAATTTCATAGTGAACATTTTATATCTTGTGCTGTCAACACTCGTATCGGTCAAGGGGTAAACCCTTCGGCCGCAGAACTGGTCCATCAGTCTATCTCGAAGCTGCTAAGGCTGTCCATGTCAACACCCAACGGCTGCTTTATGTTTAGAGCAAGGCCGTTATTTTTTTGTCGTTTTCTTTCGTTATTCAATGAATAGACTTCTTCGGTGAAGTCTATAATATCGATTGAAAATCGAGGATACTGCCATGATCATAGCTCTTCCTCATCCTCAACCTTCGGTTTTTCGGTTTCGATATTGGAGGGTGTTCCTGACCCTGACCCAGATCCCCCAGAAACAGCTGAATCTACCTCTGTTTTCAAGCCAGATCCTGTTGAAAGGTTCAGACCTCCCGATCCGTAATCCACACTGGGTCGGTATTTCTTCAGAGGACTCTGGAAAATTGACTTGCTAGGCGTATCAAGGCCTACAGCGTTTGACAGAAGACTGTTGGCAGGAGATCCCCCTGTGGTAGGCACTTGTGACGTGGATTCACTGGCTGCGGTCGGGGTTTGCGACAATTCCGGTGTGGTCAAGCTGTCTGGGTCTGCAGAATGCGCCCTCTTAAGCTACATCATATCGTCAGTTCAAATATTCTGAAAGATACAACCTCGGAACTTACGTGAATACGATCCACACCCTCAGCAAGTTCGCCCTGGAATTTGACGTCTTCTGGCGCAAGTTTGGCGTTCACATCTTTTGCGTACACTTCCTCCATCTTGCCCAGGTTCTCGTCGTCCTCTTCATCATCATCATCGCTATCATCGGCGATGTTTCCATTGCTCTTCTTTCTAGCCTTGCGTCGTCTCGAGGCTTCGGTAGCCTGGTCGCGGAAAGCAGAGAAGCCGACAGTGCCACCAGCCTTGAGAGGTCCGAGGCTGGAAAAGTCGAGTTGGCCCGACCTCCGTTTGGCTGATCCTGGTGTTGTCTGAGGATTCTTTGAGGACTGTAGAACGCCAATCTTTTGCAATTGTCCTGCGATGTGCGTTAGTGTACGATTCTCAAAACGCCCGAGAATACTCACGCTCTCCTCGGTAAAAGAAGGTAAAGACAGCATAGGGCTTGTCTGGACCGTCAATGCCCGTGACCGTCTGTGTACTGATAGTCTTCGGATCAAGAGTCTTGGGCTTCGCGAAACTTGTTGTGTGTTCAACGTCGGCGTCGATGCCATTGCCTTCCTTAGAGCCCATGTCATCTTCGTCGCCGTCATGAGCACCGAACTGGGGTGAGTATTCACCCTTCTTGATTTCGCCTGAGGCAAGTACACGGAACATAGCCACCTTGATCTGCCCAGTCGCCTCAGGGGGTTCGTCGTCGTCGTCGGACCATGAATCGGAGTCATCCACGACAGCCTCAATAGGAGACTTGTCGTCAGCACCATAGCGTAGTGTGTCCCTCCGACCTGTAGATCCCTGTTCCACGTCGGCGCTGGCGTTTCCTTCCATGGCCCGTTGTCGTCGGCGGCGTTTCTCAAACTTTTGGCGACGCTTCTCTAGCTTCTCAGCTGCATCATGACCTTGTAGGTCCAAGCCGTTGAGCCAGCGCTCGAGGCCAACCTCGCGGAATAGAAATTCCCGTTCGGCCAGACCGCCACCTTCAGAGTCTGGAACCTGAACCCAGCGACTGTTGACCCATGTTTCCTCACCTGGTCGCAGGAGAGTAGCAACTTCCTCCTTTGCTCGACCGTCGAAGTAAATGTAGGCAGCGATGGTCTCGTTTTCGGAGTTGGTCATGGGGATGTAGGGGTTCACAACGCCAGAGGACTTGTTCCGATCGCCGGTGTTCAGACCGCCGACGAACTGAGGCTTCGGGTAGGGGTTATCATCACTGCACTTCGGGGTCGAGTATGGGATAGGCAAGCCGGGGGTAAGAAGGGTAATAGAGATGGCGAATTTTGCAGGCTCGGGTTTGTTTGACTCAGCGAGCTGAGGTTGGGGTACAGGAATGTAGGTACTGATTCTTGAGAGACGAGATTGCTTCTGCATGCCATACTCTGGCAGCGGGGCAGAGTTCGCATGAATGCTGACCGCAATGCCCTTGAAGCAGGGCATCGTGACGGTATGTGGTGTGCTGGGGTTGGTGGCTGGTGTATGTATATAGGTTCGAGGTGAGGGGAGGCAGAGAGAAGTTGATCACGGCGGTAGTTGTGTAAGACTTGACCGTGACGTCTCTTCCCGTCTCCGTCTACGTCTAGGCTCGTTGAAGGCTGGGCGAAGGCGAAGGCAAAGCTTGGGAGGCGCAAAGAATGAACAGCAGAAGCAGTCGGTTGCTCGCTCGCAGGTGCTAGACACAGCACATGCGGTCAGGTCGGTGTACTCTGCTCAGTTTAGGCCTCGTCGTGATTATCGGGTTCAGAGTTGATTCGGGAGACGTCGAGAGGAACAAGCGGGCGGGCGGGCGGTGGAGGGAATCTCAGTAGTTGGCCCGCAATGAGTCCAGGTAAATCGAGCTAGTAATAGCGGTCGGTACGTAGCGGTAGCGGTAGCGGCACGATTGCTGTCAGGTACCTTACCTTACCAGGTAACTTGGGGGTGGTCGGGGATGGCAAGGTGAGGTGGGATGTGGATTGTGGTGGAGACGTCGAGTTGTTCAGTGATTGAGAGCCATGTCTCTCTAGTCTGAGATGTGAAAAGGCGAGAATTTACACAAAATAGAACGAACAGTCGATGAATGCTAGTGACGCCAGGCGGTGTTGTTGAGTTACACTACGCTAACTTGGGTAGTGAAGAATGATGCTCAGCGCGTTTGATTGTTGGCAACAGAAAGAAGGTGGAGGGAGGGGCTCTGAGAAATGGTTCAGCCAGAGCAGAGCATGGGTGTTCCCTAAGGTGCCCAGTTACAATGGGGGGTCACGACAGCCCAGGCCCAGCCAGACCCAGCCAGAGTGAGTGTGGAGGGAGGGGTTGAACGCATCCATGTGCACTGAAGAATTAGTGAATTTCCGGAAGACTTCGATTACCACTCAAATGTGCCTAGGGACTGGAAACAATTAGTATGAGACAGAGAATCTCTTTCATTGAGTTTTCAAACGAAGTCTGGATCCTACTGAACCTTTCGGTTGATATCATGAGACTTTCAACCGTCGTCAATGGTGGATGCCAAAGATACATCAACAAACGGTGAAAGTGAATCGCCCGCTTTAAATACGCATCAAAGCTTTAAACCCATTAGCTGTCGGTAGCCAGGCAAACGACTTGTCAAACGACTTGTAAATTACAATGAATTCCTTATCATGACGGGGGAGAATAGAACTACGGATATGCACGTTGCTAATCTCCAAAGCGTTCTTTGATAGCCAAACCCTACCAACTATGAGCTCGTCATCGAATTACAACCAACTTGGCATGCATATCGGATCAGCATAGTCTAACTTATAAGGCAGTTTCCCCTGCATAAACACCAAATTCTCAGCTGACAACACATTCTTATTCTAGTACTGCATATCATAAGCCACGGGTATCTGCTTCCACTCACTACACTCAGTCTCTAAATTAAGGCTTCGCAAAACTCCTCTCCTCTACAATTTATTACGTGACGTTCGCCTTCGAATGCTTGAAATTCCCTCCTCACTATAACTCGTTCCGATACCCGAATCCTTGTGTTGCACATCGTCGTCGTCATCGTCAAAACTTCCCTCATCTTCATCATCAGCGTCGGCTCCTGCTCGAGGAATTTCCGATAAAGGTTGTTCAGGATCCGCTTCAGGTTTGATTTCGGGCTCGTACTTGAGGGGTTGCTGTCTCCCGTATGTCGGAAAGGTCTCTGCGCGATCTGTGTCCTCATCCTCATACTCATATCGTTCTGCCTCAAGCCTCTTGGTCTTGTCATCAGCATCTCCAGGCGGTGACCCTGAAGCGACACTCCAAAGTCCCCAGGCGACACCCATAAAAACAACTTCAAACGCCCAAAATACAAGGGTCAAGGCGATGAATGTCGAGATGCGATAGTGAACCATCATCCACCGGAGACCGCGAAGCTGAGCTGTAAGCTGCAGGTAGGCATGGTAAATCTGAATGGTCTGGCCCGCTTCTACCTCCACGTACGCCGACTTTGGGAGATCTGAGACTTTTGAGAACAAAACTCGCTCGGCCAACGGGATGATCATCGAGTTCGTGCTTGAACCTGGTGTGAATAAATGGTAAAGCAGAAACAGCACGCGAGACGCAACCGATACCAATGGGTCCACGTAAGGAAATAAAGCAGGTCTGCGTGAAGTGAATAGTACATTGGCCCCTTCAAATCCTTGGTGTAGCGATGCGTGACGTTCCGCCACAGCATGCAACCCAGCGTCAGCTTGCGAGTCGAGCATGTGCAGGCTAATCATGAAGTTGCCGCGCTCCACGTTTGGGTTCGAGCGAGGCATTGCTAAAATCAAAGACACATCGTATTCTTGCTGCGTCTTCATCGGTGGAATTTGAAGAGAGGCGATTCCATACGGGTTAATTCCAGAGCTATAACAATTCTATCAGTCAGGCGAGCATCATACACAACACCAGATTACCCACCCATATTGGAGGTGTAATGGCAAAGTGACGACCTCATGGGGTAAGAAATTCTGGAAAAAGAGCAATGAAGCAATGGCAGCCGTGCAAAAGAGGGTTGCCGCTGTCGAAACGAGGAGTACGGTGTTAACGACAGCTCGCTGAACGGGCTTAGACGTGACAACACGGGCAGTTTCTTGTAGGGTTTCCTGGTGAAGCAAAGTCAGTCGCGTATAAATAACGAGTAGCAGAATAACTAACCATGCTATGATGCTTCAGATCAATTAGTTCATTAATATAGAAGACGCGGGTATGAGTATGAGCTAGGGAGTCACAATTTGTGAAATTGAAGGGAATAGAGGTCAAAGGGAGTGAGTGAGAGACATGTGAAGGCGACAAGCTACAGTCAGCTTTGGAGCTCTGGGGGCTTCAACGTCATAATTCGGTACGTACCCACCTTAGGGAAGATGGAGGGTATCCAACTTCACCAGCTCAAGCAATTGGATCATGAAGGATAATTTCGACACATTAATCCCAAGAGTATCTAAGTAATATTTTAATAGCATATACTGGCAGTGGTTCTCACTTCCGTGAGTGATATAGAAGAATAGCCGTTTCAATCTTTCCCAATAATCGTGACACAAATAAAAAACCAAAAATAGCCTGAAGCAACAACAAGACCAGCGTTTCCATGCCAATCTGCTGTACAAGATAACAGCATAACGAAAGGTATAAATCAAGTCGTGAACCAATTTCGCCAGAGCCCTTTTCCTGCCGAAAACCTAACCTACAATTCAAATCATTCCGCAAGAAAGATCTCAATAATCATCCATCAAGTCGCTCATATCATAGGAGTCTAACACGCCGCAAGGTAATTGCTTGGGACCAGCCCGACACTTCCGTCTCCGCCGTGGACTTCAGCCTCCCACCATCCATCATCTTGGTGACGGAGGACCGCAAGATAATCACCCTTGCCAAAGCTCAACTCCTCGGGAATGGCTGCTTGATACATGTACAATGCGCGTGCTGTAAGAAGTCATGTTAGTATCTTTCAGTTTTCAATACTGGCTAATCAAAGGCTTACCATAATGCAGAATTGCTCTGCCATCTCCGGTATACAGCCGAGACGGATCAGCAACGCTCTGACTACGTTGACGGGTACTACCATCGTCATAGTAGCTCATGGCCCTAGAAGCAGGGCGGCTGCCTCGACTCCTCTGAGAACCGTACGGATCATCGACCGGTGCGAGCTGAACTGCCATGTCGCTACCTGCATAGCTGCTTCCAGGACGATTCTGCTGGGCATAAGGTGAAGGAGAAGGCCCGCGACTAGCAGCCTGCTGAGGTGACTGGGGATAGTACCCCTGAGCAGAGCCATGCTTCTGTGGTGAGCTCATGACGGAGGGAGAGCGTTGACTGGCAGCGTAAGGGTTGGGCGATACTGATCTGTAGCTCATGTTGTCGTTCATAGGTGGCTGTGGAGACACACTACGAGCTGGTGCTGGCGAGGTTGCTCTGGGCATATCGGAGCCTCTGGTGCCAGGTCGGGAACCAGGCGACGATCCGTAAATACCAGATCCGCCACGAGACATGTCACTTCCCCTTGTGCCTGGTCGCGAAATAGGAATTCCACGAGTGTCCGATCGAGGCATCTCACTTGCTTTGGTTCCCGAGCGTGCTACAGGTGGTGTACTATAGGCACCAGTCTCTCCTCTGCCCATTTCAGTGCCTCGAGTGCCTGGTCGAGGCATGGACGCTGAGCTATAGCTTCCAGGCTCGCCGCGTCCATTATCGGTGGCTCTAGTAGTCTGTCGTGACACAGGGGAAGCACTGTAACTACCAGACTCGCCCCTGCCATGGTTAGTGGTCCGAGTTGCCGGTCGTGAAGCACTTGGTGGAACACTCTGGTTCGGGGATGGCTCAGATCGCCTTGTTTCGGTTGCTCGAGTGTTGGTCCTTGAAGCCGTACTATTGAAGCCTCCTGGCGAACCACCTCCATTCTCAAACATGCTTCGTGTCTGTGTGGTAGCCTTCTTGGTCGCTTCCTTCATTGCCCTTGAAGTGACAGCGGGTGGTGGGACACCCAGGCGTGAAACCGGGGTTTGGTATGATGGCGGCGGTGTTCCTCTCTTTGCCGCCGCAACATCCGGGTTCACAGGAGTCGGGGCTGTTCGAGAGGCTGAGGCTTGTCTTGAAGCAGCTTCTGATGCTGGCGCCGGAGTAGCAAGGCCAGAATAGTGATCAGCGGACATTCTCATTGACGACTGCTTGCCTAACGTGACACCTTTCAGCTCCGCAAGGGCCAGAGCGATTGGGTCTGTTTCATCAGGTGTCTGTTCAGTGGCAGCTCCCGGTTTCTTCTTTGTGTCAGGGGTAGATACAGGGAAGACGTTCTGTCCAACTCCCAGAGCCAAACTGGCATTGGCGTCGATAGGTTCAGGACTCTGTGTACGTTCTTGGGTGGCAACATTGCTTGACTGCTGTGTTTGTAACTGTGGTCTGCGAACGGGACTACCAGAGTTTTGCGTGCTCGATGCATGCCATGTGTTTCTGTTTGACTGTTGAAGATCCTTGTTGCTCTTGCGTCTGAAGGGACTATGATTCTTTAAGAACCCACCACTCTTCTTCTTAGCAACTAGCTTAACTGGGCTTGGACCATTGCTGGCAGCGGGAGCAGGAGCGGGGGTGGGAGCGGGAGCACTGACTGGCGCCGGAGCAGGAGCTGGTGCCGGTGCAGGTGCAGGTGCAGATGCTGATACTGGCGCTGGTGCTTGAGTTGGTACTGGGTCTGACTTTATAGGATCTTGTTTGACGGGTGAGGTCTTGCCGCTCGGTGGTTCTACACTAGAGAACGAGTTGGGGTTCGAATAATCACTATGTGAGTCTCTGCTTGAAGGTCGAGCAGATGTCACCTGCGAACTCTGGTCTGAGATGGGGCTGGGCCCAGTCCTGCATAGCATCGTCATGCCATCCAGGGGGTAAGGGTCGTGTGGCACCGCTGCAACAGCGCCATGCTGATTGGCATCATACGACATATGACCCGCAGGTTGTTGACGACGATACGGGTCCTCCATTGGTCGCCGTATTTCCAGAGATGTCCTTGTATCCATTGTTTGCCTTGCATCAGCACTTGGTCGAGACTGCATCGAAGGCCGAACTTCCCCAGAGTGGCGCATTTCTAAAGACGGCCTTGGATCGTGCTGTCGCGTATCTGGATGTCGCATATTTGAATGTCTCATATCCCCAGATCTGCTATCTGCGGTTCTCATTTCCAGAGGCCTCATCTGCTGTTGCATGTGGTGCCCTGTATGGTGAGCAACCTGCTGGGAAGGTTGCTGACGCTGAGGAGAGTACTGGTGCTGGGGATGATGCTGCAGCTGCGAGGGGTGCTGAAGCTGAGAGTGATGCTGCAATTGGGAGGGATGCTGTTGTTGGGGAGCATATTGCAGTTGAGAGGGGTGTTGCATCTGAGAAGGACGCTGTATCTGCTGTTGACGCTGTTGAGGAGGCGCCTGGATCTGCTGAGGCTGAGGCTTTTGGGTGCCGATTTGGAGTATCTCGTCAGGGGGCAGCGTCGCCGGCTTCTGGGTTGGAAGGTCACGTTTGCTTGGAGCAACTTCTCTGTGCGCCAGGTCGTTGGCCAGAGCAGAATTTGGATCATGATGCGACTCAAATGTCGAAGGTTGAGGAGATGACGAGCGGAAAGCAGGGTTGATGCTGCGAGGAAATTGGGCGACAGAATAGTTGTCGTCCTCTGATGTATCAGATTGGTTATCCGTCACATCTCCGCGACAGAAGTTGATATACTTGGGAGCGTCTGGGATCTCCTGACCGGTTCCCTTTTCTGTAATGAAAGTGATGATGTCCTTTTCCACATCCATAACCTCCAATGAGAGTCGGATCTTTTCGCACGACGAATCGTCACTAACGCAAACTGTGGAGGCGATATTGGCAAACGTCCACAGGCTACTCTTGGTGAAGTCGAGTCGCTCTTCCTCCAAATCTTGGAATTTGTCGGCGGCCGACTTCCACTCTCTGTTCCATCTTGCTGTCGTGTCTTCAAGTGCTTTGACTGCATTCTCATACTCCGTATTGGAAGTTGCGAGGCTGATCTGTGTCTTTTCGAGTTTGGCTTTGTTACGTCGTTCTTCTTGGCCCATGACCATGTGGCCTTGGGCAAGATAGCCCTTGATCTTCAAGCACTCTTGCTCATACTTGTCTCGTGTCTAGAACCGAAGTCAGCTTGCATGATGGTGGAGAGTAGAGAAGAGTAGTCTAACCTTATTGACCTGCTGTGTCTGCTGCATCTTGACCTTCAACAGCTTTTCGACGGTGTTCTGAATAATCTTTCGTCGCTCCTTCATTCCGCCAGCAAAGGCGGCGAGTGGTTCCTCAAGCTCTGACTTCATTTCTGCGCCAATAAGTTGGTGCTGCTTGGCCATCTGTTCGACTTCGCCTCGGACGGTATCCAACGATGTCTTCAATGTACCAGACTCCTGCGATCCTAAGGCTTTGCGGCTCAGGTTCAACAATTTGCGGGAATATTCCTCTTCAATCGACGCTCGAGCTGTAGCGCATTCAGTTAGATAGACTTCTGTCAACAACTTCACTTGTACGCACCGCCATAGAATGCTCGTAGTTCATCGCATGTTGTCTTGGCCGCAGTCATGCGACTCAGCAGGGGCGCCACGCCAGCATCTTCCTTGCCCCAGAAGTTATTTGCGACTGCGGTATCAGGTATCAGTCAAAGAAACATCAAGCTATCGTCAAAGTTTGCTCACAAGACAGCGCAACGGCTGGAGTTTCAACCGTTGATGCGGGCATGATGCCCAAGCGTATTCAATTTCAAATGTCAAGACAGATGGACGTTATGTTGTTTCCAACGAATATGAATGATTAAGGACCAGCCTGAGTCGCACTACTCTCCACACTAAGCATGGAGGAAGCGAGACAAGAAGGATATCTGGTATGTAGCCCTTTCAATGATGATAAAGGGAGTAATGTACGGTGAAGTGAGAGCTAGCTGTATTGTTTTGGTGGCGTGTAGCTGTTGGCACGACAACAAAGGGAGCACTGACCACAGGCGTAACAAGGAAACCTTGGAACGATTCACAACCCAGAGGCACGTGATGCGGGTACAGGCAGTGTGGATCCTCTCGACGTATCGGGATTTGCCGTTCTCAAGGGCCTTGTCATTTTCAGTTACAGTACCTTGTCCTCCAAACCCAACATCGACCACCACCACCACCTTGTGTACAGACGTTCTTGACGATATCGATACTTGCATCACCACGCGCCATAAATATTTCGGGTCTCGTTGGCTTATTTGACGCCGAATCGCTTCGGACCACCCCCCACCCTCTCAGTTTGTAGCGTTTTCGGCGCCCTCCCTACGACGAACGCCGAGTACGACACGTACCTCCAACTCCACCTTCAAGTCGAGTCAGGCTCACGAGTTCCTCTCTGGTCGACTACCGTTGCACGATCGCGCAATCTCTGCAACGTCTTGACGACCGCTGTTCGCAGCTTCATCGTGCCGCTCCCCCATGTAGGCATCTTATATACCGACTCATCCTCCTTCACACTTCCCCGCTCGCTCGTTTTCTGAGCCCTCCGGCCTGCCACCACAACGAAAGCAGGCGATCAATCATCTCATCTCCCTCCGCCGCGAATATACCTCCATGGTCCCACCACCTCGAGCGGGATCATTTTCGCCCAATCCTGCGCAGATACTACAGACGGGTGCGAGCCATTCTCCTCACCCATCGCAGGCCGCCATTCTCAGTGCTGGCGCAAGCCCAAGCGCCAGCAGTCCAACGGGCACTAATTCCCTGACCAAGATCGTCGTGGCCCAGGTCTATCTTCTGCTCAGTACTATTAAGGAGGATAAGGACCGTGCTAAGTGGGAGCTACAGGTTGACCAATTGAAGAAGGTTTGGCTATTACTATTGCTGCTGCACAAGCCCCAAGTTTGCTGACAATGCATCTTCTTCACAGCTCATCGATGAACACGGAATGGAAGTGTTTACTAAGTATTTCACCCGGCTCGTTGCCGGCAATGCGCCCCAGATATTCCCAGGCCTCAATAGGCCCGGCACAAGCCCGAACAACTATCACATTCTTGTTGCCGAGATGCAGAAGATCTCACACGATCCCAATCAAGCAAGTAAGATTGCTGAATCAATCGAGAGTGCCACAGAGGACATCTTCCGCGACTTTGATCTTTCGACCTTTATGGAACATTTCAAGCTCGATGCATTGGAGAAGACCATATTAGCTCTAGCCTTTAAGCTCACTTCTCGAGCAGATTTGAAGACTAAAGGTTGGTTCATACCATTACGAAGTTTGTACCGTTGAATATTCTAATATCAAGGCAGCCGACGCTATATTATCTACTAACTTCCCTTCGTTCATCGATATTCTTTCTCGATTTGACCTCGACGCCCATGCCGACCTGACCCCCTCTTTCATCGCCCTGATTCTGGACCGGTTTCTACAATATCATCCTCCGAGCTTTAATGCTTCTTCTATGCGCGAATTGGAAACACGTGTCATCAACCGATGGATCGATCAGACTCCCGAGCGTACACCGCCGTCCGAAATACTCGCGGCCCTCGACTTGAGTCGAGTGCTGGCTGATAGGCCTTTCAATGGGCTGGTTCGATATATCCAAAAGACGGGCATCGAATTCACCAGGGACGAGGAAACGTGTGTTTCTTATTTACAGAACCGCCCTAGTAGCTTGCAATTGGGCCCCGAACAGGTTTCAGCTGCGATGACCTTCACGGCCATCAGTCAAAGCCCACAGCAAGATACTGGTGTTTTGGTTGCTGCCCTCAGGAGAGTCCTACCGAAATCATTCGACTGGATGGAGGTGATCATTCTGTTCGACCAACCATCGGCTCGTGTTTCTTCTCAGCAGTTCCTTCGACTTTATCAAGCGTTCTTGCCAATTGCACAGGACTCAAAGTCTGGCTTGATAGTGGATATTCAAAGGCTATGGGGCGGCGTTTGGAGGAATCCAGAGGCTCAGCTCTCTTTTGTTAGTGCCTATGCCTCTTTAACTCCCGATCAGCTGGACGCGACGACAATTCCCGGGCTCCAGCGCAGTATTACTATTGAGGAATACGCCAACTCCCCTGAGAATGTACAAGAGCGAGCAATTGTCGCCGTCAAGCATCCGTTGATATCCGTCGCCGCGCTGTCCTCGATCTTCAATGTTGCGCTCAGTTCGATGTTAGCGTCAACGAGTATCGAGGCTAAGAGGCTCTTCCAAGAAGTGGTAGTCCCGAATCTGGACATCTTCCTAGTTTCCGCCTTCGAAGTCCCTCGGCAGCATTGGGCTCCAATGGCTGTAGAAACACTCAGTTCTTTGTTCGAAAATTTCCTTTATAAGCGTTCGCCCCAATACGACTTCGTTCTGGATAGTGTCTGGAGGAAGGACAAGAACTGGGTCGTTCAGCGCTTGGTAGACACCCATGCTGTCAAGCCGATGGACCTTCCGGTCATTCTCGAGCACGCTGTAAAGCATAACTGGCTTGACACGCTGGTATACCAGTCAAATGGATTCGGAGTTGATTTAGCTGCTCTGGCCCATGCTGAAGGATATTTGGATCTGTCCAAGTGGGCACGGTTCAATGCTGAGCGGAGTGAAGAAATGTATAGCACTCTGCTTCAGTTCTTGATGATAAAGGCAAACTTGGAGAGTCAGTTTCAGCGAGGAAATTCTGACGATTCTTCTGTTAAGAATACAACGACTCTCCAAGTTCGTACCGTATCAGCGCTCCTGCGAATCCTCGAGGATTTTTCGCCAAGTCCGCCTCGGCCAGAATTGATCCTGGTTCAGCGCGCTTGCATTATTGCTTACCCCCGACTGATCAACTACGGCGAAGGTTACGACGACATCATCGATGCCAATGGAAGGGAGGGGAATCTCCTGTCTCCGACCGCCAATATCAGAATGGAGGAACACTACAAGAAGATGTATAGTGATGAAGTACAGGTTCGCAATATCGTCGAAGTCTTAGATCGCTATAAGCATTCCAGGGATCCTCTGGATCAAGATGTTTTCGCATGTATGATCCATGGACTCTTCGACGAGTATTCTCACTATGCCGACTATCCGCTGGAAGCTCTGGCAACAACCGCAGTTCTATTTGGTGGCATAATCTCGCATAAACTTGTTTCAAATTTGCCTCTCCAAATTGGACTGGGCATGATTCTGGAAGCTGTCAGAGACCATTCTCCTGATGAACCCATGTACAAGTTTGGCCTCCAGGCACTGATGCAGTTGTTCATTCGTTTCCGAGAATGGCCTGCCTTCTGCAGACAGCTATGCCAAATTCCTGGGCTCCATAACACGGAAGTTTTTAAGAAGGCAGAAGAGGTCGTTCGTGAACACGAAGAAGAGATGGCCCGTGGGCGTAACGGCGCTGGAACACCTCATGGACTAGGATTTCAAAGTGACGGTTTCCCTAATGGAAATTCTGATGAACTGGCCAATGTTGAGCGTCAAGCACCTGCGTTTGCTTCTCTGAATGTCGACCCGCCAGCTACTGACGTTGAGTTTGAAGATCCTGACGAGGGTGCTCAGGACAAGGTACAGTTCGTTCTCAACAATATCACCGAAGGCACACTACAGGCCATGTGTCAAGAACTTCGAGAGACTATGGAACGCCGACATCAACAATGGTTTGCTAGTCATCTTGTTGAGGAGCGCGCCAAGATGCAGCCAAACTACCACCATGTTTATCTCGAGCTGGTTAAGCTGTTTGAAGACAAGGCTCTTTGGAGTGAGGTCCTGAGGGAGACTTACATCAGCGTGTGTCGAATGCTGAACTCGGAGGCGACAATGCAAAACTCAACGGAAAGAACTCACCTTAAAAATCTTGGAGGCTGGCTAGGTCTTCTAACTCTGGCACGAGATCGGCCCATCAAACACAAGAATATTGCCTTCAAGCAGCTCTTGATTGAGGCGCATGATACGAAACGACTCATCGTTGTTATCCCATTCGTCTGCAAAGTTCTGACTCAAGGCGCTACATCAGCCGTTTTCAGGCCCCCGAATCCATGGCTTATGGATATCATTCATTTGCTGATCGAGCTTTATCATCATGCTGAGCTGAAACTCAATCTCAAGTTTGAGATTGAGGTCTTGTGCAAGGGTTTGAACCTCGATCACAGGAGCATCGAACCTTCTGGCGAAATTCTGAACCGACCCGTCATTGAAGAACCGGCAGAGACCCTCCCCACTGAACAACTGGACGCTTTTGAGAATCTATCTCTCAATGGCATCGGGTCCGGTGTGGGTGCTGGACTCTCACCTCAGGCTCTTGCGCCAACCATTCCTGACCTTGGTCCCTTGATTACTATCCCCCCAACTAATGAGATGGTTGTCAGTACTACTCGTCTTCATGAGATTGTTCGCACGGCCCTCAGCCGTGCTCTGCAAGATATAATCCAGCCTGTCGTTGATCGCTCCGTTACAATTGCCGCCATATCTACGCAGCAGATGATACACAAGGACTTTGCCATAGAACCTGACGAGAATCGTGTACGAAACTCTGCTATTAGCATGGTAAAAGCCACCGCCGGTAGCCTTGCTCTCGTTACGTCCAAGGAACCCCTTCGCGCCAATTTCACCAACTACATGCGAAACCTCTCGACTGATCTCTCTCAAGGACTCCCCGAGGGCACAATTATTATGTGTGTTAACTCTAACCTAGACCTGGCCTGCAACATCATCGAGAAGCAGGCTGAGGAAAGGGCTGTCCCTGAAATTGAGGACATGATCGAATCTGAGCTTGAGGCTCGTCGACGACATCGCCTTCAAAGACCCAATGATCCTTACTTCGACTCAAGCCTCAGCCGGTGGGCCATGGCTATCCCCAATCCGTATAAGTTATCGCCGAATGTTAACGGCCTCAACCCTGAGCAGATGGCCATCTACGAAGACTTCGCCAGGCAACCACGAAGCGCCACGCTTCCCACACCTTCGCATGGCCCGTCAGCATCCGATGCGACCAGGTCTTTGGCCAACGAGGTGTTACA